ATAAAGTGTGTATGAATGTTTGTATGTATACCTCTTTTGTTGGGACAATCTCAGATATCGTCACGTCGACTATGTACTTCTAATTACTGGAACGCGGGGATACTATTTTCAAATCATTAATCCTTTTCGTCATAATGATTAATGATTTGAAAATAGTATCCCCGCGCGTTCCAGTAATTAGAAGTACGTAGACGACGTGACGATATCTGAGATTCTTTTTTCATATCAATGTCCGCAACGAGAAGAATGGACCAATCCCCAATTAACCAAAATTTTGAACTCAACACTAGTCTAGACAAAATTTCATCACAGCTTGAAAGAGCATCACAAAATTAGTAATATTCCAAAGTTTCGTTGCGAAATGTTGTAAAATGCGAGTATTAATATAGCCTTGCGAAATTTGTAATTTTCAGTCATTTTGTAGGCCTATTATGCACGGAATGGTAATGATTTCCCGTTTGTAATGACTGAAAATTGCAAATTTCGCAAGGCAATATTATCCGCATTTTACAACATTTTGCAACGAAACTTTGGAATATTACTAATTTTGTGATGCTCTTTCAAGCTGTGATGAAATTTTTGTCTAAACTTGTTGAGTTCAAAATTTTGCTTAATTGGGGAAAGGTCCATTCAGAGGTGAAAGGCGCTTGCTCCGATGATCGCGATGAACGCCTTACTACAACTACCACCAGATCTATTCTTCGCTAAATATATCTTTCGTTAACTAGGTCTGGCATTTGGGGAGCGTACGATGATACAATAAGTGTACATGAAATTGTTTCGTATTTCAAAGAAAATAACGACCTGTTGGGAAAGCCAAAATTGTTTTTCGTTCAAGCGTGTCGAGCGAATAGTGACGAGGTCGAAGATGATAGTTGTGAAGGTGGTCAAGAAAAACGTTTATGTCCACAAGACTCATCCGATACTCTGGTGGCATATTCTACTATCAAGGGTAAACTATCATACAGGGAAATCTGCACAGGATCCTGGTTTATTCAGACATTAATGAAGCAGTTTAAAGTGCATGCACAAAGCTCGCATCTGATGGATATCATGACTGTAGTGAATGAAGATATAGCTGGTAGTGAGTTAGAGGGTTATAGGCAGATGCCAATGCAAGTCTCAACTCTGACAAAGTTTGTCTATTTCGAGATGGCGACAGTCTAACATTCTTTAACAGGAACTAACTGGTCATGTGTTCACATTGTTCGAGGAGTCTGACAATGATGAGTATAGGTGTACGATTAAATAGAGAGACATAGATGGTTCATTAATCATACACATAGCAGCTCGAGAGCTGACTTGAGTGATAGTTTCATTGATAAAAGTTATAGAGTAAAAATTACCTAAGTATTTACAATTCTTTTAAAATATATTCTTTGCTTGTATATGACGTCACTACGTGTCATTAGGCGCCATCTTGGTTGATTTTAAAGTTTTGTCCAGCCGTTTACATCGAAATAGTTGAGTTACTTTAATATTTTTGGTTTGTTTTGAAAACATCTTACTGTGGCTAGGTTTTGCAGCGTTTTCAAAAACGTTTTTGTCCGTAAAATCGTTTTGACGCCGTATTCGCACAGCCCAAAGGAAAATATCTCGGATATATTAAATAAACTACAACTTCTGTCGTAAATTGATAGTGTTTGTATCCGTTTTAGCGTGAAAACACAAATGAAAACGCTCGAAAACGTTACCGTGTGCACATAGTCTGTATTATGGATAGCTTACGATTTCTGGCACAATACGACAAAGAATGAAGAATATAGATTTTTAGTTGCCACGAAAGTCAACCAAGATGGCGTCGATTGCAAACCAGTAAGGGAGTGGTCATTATTTATGGGGAGGGGGGTTGGGAAATGGGGAAAATAAGGATTGAAAACTTTTTTGACCCCCCCCCTCCCTCCAGACTGAAGGCAACCTTTTTGTGCCTCCCTCCTCGTAAAAGTAGAAACCTTTCTGACCCCCCCCCCCAGTGTGGATTGAAAAATTAACAGCAATGAAACAGGTGTGCGTTGCAGGTAAAGTTAGATATTAGGACAATCTGTTTAATCTAGCTCATGATGTTTTACCCTGGTGAATATGATTCAACCATATATGATTAAAAATATATATTATGTGTTACTACTTTGCAATGCAACAACATTTGTCCTACCATAACCCTAACCCATGACCCGTCTTCATACAGCGAAATGATTTGAACACAGGGTTTTTTTAAGAACTTGTCTGGGGGGTGGGCATCTACAAAAAGGGACCATACTATATTGAGTGTGGAGAGATGACAGATGGTGACAAAAAGTTTGGTGTGGTATCGTATGTACTAGTAAGGGGTCTGGGGGTATTCTCCCCCAGAAAATTTTTTGTATAAATTCCACCCCTAGAACTGAAATGTGAGCATTTTCTGAAACAGATTTTTGGATATACAGCATTACATTGTGCGTTGATAGACCGAATCTGATCAGTTAAGTGTACTTGCATGGTATGTTTATGTAAATACCACAACTGAGTCACTCAGGGGGTAGAAAGCTTGTTAAACTTAGTGGGCTCAACAGTCGCGAGGCTCCACCATGGTTGGCGCCGAGCAGGGAAATGTTGAAAATTTTGAGTCTCTAGATCGTTGGAAATAGTATTTTCAGAGTCTTCCCTTTTTCTATTTGTGATTATAGAAATCAAAAACTTTTATGACCCCCCCCCTTTCTCTGTGTTAAAACGTTTTTGACCCCCCCTATTTATAAGGGTAAAACTTCGTTAGCCCTTCCCATTTCCCAACCCCCCCCCATAAATAATGACCACTCCCTAACTGGCTCCTAATATGCATATATCTACAAGTACTGGGCGGTGAAAGTGATTTGAGAAACTGATCAATATTTGTTGGCATCTCCACTCAACTGAATAAAGGTTAAATGCATATAAAATGTATATAAAATTTTAATAAATGTTAATAAAAGTATATAAATGCATATTAATATATGTTAATAAATGTATATAAAATTTACACTCGATAATTTCCATCCACATTTCCTTCAACTTTTGAGAGATCAACCACAACTCGAAAGTCAAATTTATACTGAGTCAATTATACCATCTATTATATTTCAATTGGTTTCAAAGCGCCAAAACTCAAAAGTAAATAAATAATATTATACATATAACATTATTTAATTGCTTTTTGGGCTTTGAAGTAGTTTAATTGTGTCCAGTTTCTTAATTTGTTCTGTGTGCCAGTGTGCCACCGACTATCATCTGCATTGCTGCTAACTGCAACTTCATTTATCTCGGGTTAATTTAACCCAGGATCGAAACTTATTTTCTACATTGCTGCGAACTAAACGCACAGTATTGTGGTATATATGATTGTGTACGTTAATCAATTCCTTCATAGTTGACCTGCAGAGGCTGAGAGGCCTGGGGTACTGGGTACAAAAAGCTTGCCTTAACAGCTGTACTCGATCAATACGATCATGCACTTGTGAAACAATTTCTAAGGAATATAGAATAGACGGCTTGCATGGGTTGTACTAGTAGTGCTCCTTCGTACGGCGTATCACGAAGTATAAGTCGTATTTAGAGTTATAGAGAGAAAAGGGAAAATATCACTGAAACGTCACTAAACAGTGTTCGTGACTTCCAACGCATGGGAGTGTTATGAACATGTCAAAATTCTACAGCAAGACAATTTGTTGCGTGGAATGATGAAACAAACGCCTTGTAAATATTTATGTTGTTCTCCCAACTACCATTATAAACCGCCTACAATTTCTGGCTGTTACACTATGGGCATGCCTGTGCCTGTCTATAGGCTTCACTCTACCCCCGCTTGACCAGTATACAATATATTTAAAATTGAACCTGTCAAATGTTTTTGAATGACATCCGAGATAAAATATATTGCTTAGCATGCTATAACGATATAGCACTAGAGCCATGTGGGCCCAGCCGTTTTTCTGTTTTCCATTTCAAATGTTTGCTTTGGTAATGAAGTTTTATAACACCCAACCAGTAACCGCAGCAGGTGACTGAAATGTCCGGTTTATAAAAATTTTGCGTGACGAAATGAAATTTTACACCGATACGATATATTGACACAACACGCGCTAGAACCGACTAAGAAGCATATTTTATATTCCGACACAAAAGACTTAAATGAGATTTGCCACTCTGTCAAAGCTATCCAGTATTAGACTAACTGAAGAATTAATACGGTACCGAAATAGGAAATTCAAACAAGCATCTACTTGTTATAATACGTGAGGACCACATTATTATATACCGCCGTGGTTTAATATACGCGTTTACAAGCTCCAGCTGCTTCAAAGCAAATTTACTTGAATTTGCTTCAACGTGTACAAGAACCTTGATCGACTTTAATCCCAAAGTGATGGAATATTTCTTGGTGACTCTTGTCTTGGCTCTGTTCTCGTTACATCATTCTGTTTGGGCTACAAGATTTCTGCCAACAATTGTCTGGGATCATTTAAATCCATTGTAAGTAATATATTCAGTCTAATTTCAGACAATAACAAGCTGCACTAAATTATTATTGCCCGCAGTTTCATTGCGCATATAAATTTACCGCCATTAAACGGGGCATTGTGATAATTCTGTAATTTTTATTTTTTACGCAAATGAACTTTTACATATTTGATCAAATAATTATGATCAAAGGAAGGAAGAATATGTTCTTTAAAGTGCATTTGAATAAAGAGTTCTAGTTATTGACAGTCGTTATAGAAAATAATATTACACTATTGGTCACCACTATACATCAATACATGCATGTTGATGCGTCGCCAAGCAATTGTGGTTTTGAATTTCTGCCCGCAACGCTATGTTATGCGACAAATTCTATCGATAATTTATAACGAAAATGAACTCGGAATTTATTTACCTAACAATGCGATTGAAAATAGAAATGAAAGTAGATGGTATAGATATATGCATGCATGTTTAAAGGTAGACAGAGTTAGTATAGTCTTAGACGAGTCCAATATGTGACATACATAAAAGGATAATTGATTGTCGAGACAAGTTCTTGACTGTATGACAAGCGTGTGAATGAATATTTAAATGAAATAGTATTTCTATTTTTTAGAGTAGATTTTTATCGCCCGTTTGTGGTCAATATTGTTTTCGTAAATTTACATTATGTACTATAACTGAAAATGAAAGACATCGTTTATGCATCTTGCGTCATACTCCAAGGGTGCTTGCGTGAAATGCGTCAAAACGGCGTGGATTTCTGTGAAATAATTCGCGTCGCCTATACTAAAATATGATAAAAACATTTTTAAAACTCGAGGCAAAACTAGTACAAAGACATCGGTATACGTGAAAAGACGTAAGTTAGCAATTAAGTTCAATTTTTTTACGTTCTTGACTTCCTTCACAATAAATAGTTAAATAAGTTAATATAGTCATATATAGACATTTTAAATTTAATAGTATAATCCTGGTTGCTTAAGAGGGACGTCTAACAATTTTTGCTTTAGCCATTGCTTTGATTTTATTTTTAAACTGTCAGAATCGGTTTACTGCGTGTTATTGTTAATTAGGATAAGGTCGAATAACTGAATAAGGCGTATCCAAGAATGAGGAATAGTGGTATTAGTGAGAATGACGCGGCGAACAATATGTCCAGTTTCCTGCCATTCAAAATACATTTTTGAAATCATTTGGTAGTTAGAAAATTTTCGTTTTTATTTTTAATACAGCTATACGAAAATGTTTATAATATATATATTCACTCTAATATCTTATAATTGCATGCATGGCGTGAAAGGAGTGTTCCCACATACAAGTATGCCCAAATTATCAAAACTAACTACAGGGAGCCCGATTATGTCCTATTTGATATATCAATACAACCATATGCCCAAGCCATACATGTATACAGTATGCATATTCTCCATACAGTAATAGTCAGTGTAGAAACAAGTAAGAAGTGTACACATGCACAGTTATATATGACAGATTAATTTAAATAATATTCCTATCTATCCATTTTAAAAATTGTGCGTGACACTTGCCAGATTATCGCGCTGGAGTTGCACATCTGTACATCATTTAACCTGCGGTTACGTCAAAGCGATCAGCCAAGAAAATCGAGGAGAGAGGAAAGGGTTGAAATACCGGCGGTTATCTGATTAGCGCATGTGTTCTATAAGTAGCTGGGCATCTGTTTGTCAACAGAAGCCATTGGATGGCTATAGTCTGCGTAGCTGGCGGTTTTTCAACCAAGACCGACGTCTAGGTCAAATATAAACAGATTTCTGAAAATCTGGTTACATTAACCAGACTATGCAGGTACAGGAATTAGTGAGATAAAATAACTAGGAAATTTAACGAGGATATTAAGGGCTGTTTATATGGGTCCAGCAAGCCCGGGTATACCAAAGCTGGCCGGTTTAGGTGTGATCCCACCTTTGTTATTATTTCCTACTAAATTTCATTTTAGTTTGGCCCGCCTAAGCGAGATCCCACCTCGACTGACCCGAGATCTCGGGCAACTGGGCTGGGAATTTTCCATATAAATTATCGATAGGCTGGCTCGCCCAAATGGGCTGAGTGTTATTGCTCTGTTCACGCAAATATACTGTTATAAATCAGATTTTCTCGAGATATTTCGATCTTAGAAGACCCTCTGTGAACGATTCTGCATGAGTTATGACCGTCAAAGTTTCTCGCGAAAAAGTGCGAATTTCAGGTTCGTGAGAAAATATATTTATATTATGATATTTATAGCAGTGAGCCAGTGCTTTGTTTTGGCGAGCCAGCCCGCCTCAAAAAACACGGAGTAAAATTGGTCTCGGCCGCGGGTATACCCAGGCTGGCTCGCCTCCATATAAACAGCCTATAAACCTGGTTTCCATATGGTCGTAATGGTCGCAAAGATTGAGTCTGCACGAACCTTCTCATCAGCCGAAATAGCTACAACATTTTAGCGGAACTGAAAATGCCGTTATACGCAGAGTGATTATAACTAGAGAATACTTATTATTTATATATGTGGTTTACAGGTATGAACTATTATAAACTGGCCGTTGAGAAAGATCGTGACTCTATTATTACGACCATTACGACCATATGGGAACCAGGCTTATTTCTAGGTAAACAGGAAAATTTTAACCAGAGCAGGGATGACTCAATCTTTACGACCGTTACGACCATATGGAAACCATGCAGGCTTAGAGGCAACTAATATTGACAAAATGAGCGATCATAATCACGTGTTGTAGAGTGTTAACTCTATACTATAGTGCTACGGCAGTACACAACGGTAAACGGGTAGTTAAAAAGTAGTTTAATTTAGAGTTTTATACAGCTGGCCCACCAGGTTATGTGTGTCACGGGCTAGCCCCTGCCTTTAGTTTCATTTCAGGTATATTCCACTATACTCTAATATATCATAGAGTCAGTTTATTCAGGTATATTCCACTATACTCTAATATATAAAGTCAGTTTTTGAAAACTTCTTCATTCTAGTAAATAAAGTAATCAGGGCTGACATATTCAATTCACAGCGAATTAATCACGCTAGAGTTAACTTTATGTCAAGTCAATCTTATGTTGACAACGCAGTGTTGTGTTTTTCTCATCAATATAATATTGTATCGTCCGAATTAAGTCACGTATCATGCATAAATTTTATTATGGGCTAATTATGCATTCAGTTTACTTTTACCCAAGAAAGCAAGACAAATGTTTGCTAATTCTCATCCAATTTTCATCCAAACTGAAACAAACTTTAATCGATTTGTCCTTGGACAATTTCCATTGACACCACAATTTTTCGTATTAACACGTTTGATATTTTTTTGAGTTACTTATGGACAATATGGTCAAGGACGTATGTAGATATGGCTCAGTACCGCGAGTACTGGCGAAAAAATTCTTAGCGTTATTTTAGATAAGCATTTGTCTTGGGATTTGCAAGTAGATGATCTAATTAGGAAACTGAACTCTAGGGTGTAGGCCGTATACCTCCTTAAAGCAAAAAATCATACAATGGTCAATGCCCTAATTAAGCCGGTTTTGAATATCAGTTGCTGTATATTGTGTGGGATAATTGCTCAATTGAACAATTGGATAGACTTTTAAAGATTCAGAAGCGCTGTGCCAGGATTATACTGGATACCAGCATCAATGACAATTCTGTTAAATTATTTTCAACATTAGGATGGCTTCCTATTGACGATACAATACGTACTATATGAAGCTGTATATGTTACATAAACTTAGTCTTGGGCGTTGTCATTGTCCAAACTATTTCAGTTGCGTCATACAATTAAGTATCTCAAGGACTCCCATATTGCAATTGCCATCATAAATACACGTGCATGCATGTGACAACAAGAAATTTAGTTTCATTGCCTTCCTATAAAAAGACATCAGGATTTCTATTCGTCTGTGGAACAACATTGATTTAAGGACACATAAAATAAATTCCTTGATTCTCATAATGGGGGTGGGATGGGGGGTGAATAGGGGTATACAAATCCGCCGATCCGCCCAAATTTGAGGCAAAATACGCGATCCGACAATGGTCTTGTCTAAATTTGGATCCGCTAAAAGCTCTACTATGAAGTCACAATCCAAGATCCGAACTAAATTGCAAGCTAAATCCACAATCCGAGCTAGAATATTAGATAAATCCGCAATCCGCTGTATTAATAAGATCCGCAAATCCGTGTAAAATACTTGTCAGGTCCGAAATCCGAATATTTTTTTCTGTGAAATCCGACGATCCGAAAACACACCCCCATAATTAAATTTTAAAAACGCCCAAGGAGGCGGGAGGTTTATATTTAAAATTTTATATCAAAATATAAAAAAAAAACTTTGAACTTTAAAAAAAATGGAGAGGGAGGTCTTTTTATATTTGCCCTTAATACATTATAGAAGAATGCCGCTAAGTGAATTGTGGAAAATTCCACACGCGTTAATGAACATATAACAAGGATCCACACAAATCGTTGTAATTACAGCCAATTCAATAAAGGTTGTCCTTCAAAAATCTTAAACCTTAAACATTGAGCGCGCAAGGTATGATGGGTAACTTCCTATTTAGAGTCTTAAACATGGGAAATTTGCTTGCCAACAATGCTAGGGCATATATAATGGATACTTTCGATGTAGAGCTATTTGGTTCACTAAACTAATGTTCAATTTTAGGCCCCAAATAAGCAAATGCCCATCATACTATGCGCGTTCAATGTTTAAGGTTTAAGATATTTGAAGGACAACCTTTTTTGAATTGGCTGTATAAGTCCATGCATGTTTTCCTTCGATATCCCGAGTATCCCTTAACATGTTGCAATATTAACGATAAAACAATTTTATATCGCAAAAATTTGAATATAAAATATAAAAATAACTACATGTTTAAAGATGCTCAGTTGGGCGGTAAATTTATATTTTATAACAAAATACAAAAATATATCAACGCGGAGATCCAAATATCTTCGGGCTGTGATGAGAATCAAGGA